TCATCTCTTACTGCCAAATGTAGTTTTGATTCATGGTTTCATCTTGCACAGAAAGACAGTTTCTTAAATATAGTAAAGCAAGTACCATTCATTAGAGTAAAGGGGTGGAAAGATGTCAAAGTTGTCTGGACTCCCAAATTTGCATGGTAACAGAGGTAAGGGATTTTTGACTGATTTCTTTGAGTCTGAGGATCAGATATTGATCTAATAACAAACTATATCTATATCTAGTACATGCTGCAGAGTCTTTATTTACTTGGTAATGTTGTGAAACCAAGCTCCCCTCATATGAGCTTCAAAAGGATGCCCACAAAAGAGCCCGGCATGGTGACACGGCCTTTGAAACCCAACACTGTTATGTGATGTTGTTGGGGCAACTGTTCAACACTCATAAACAAACCACCTCTACTACTGAGGGACATGGAGAAACTCTACAACACACTCTCTGGACACTACATTAACTAACGTGTGAGTGTGTGTGTGTGTGTGTGCGTGCTTGCGTGCGTGCGTGCGTGCGTGCGTGCGTGCGTGCGTGTGTGTGATGCATCAAATGTGAACTCACTCAGCAGTCACCTGCTGATGGACAAATCCATCTGAAATTAATCTGGTTATTTCTGCTCTGCCCTGATTTAGAATGAAAGCACCTGCATATATTTGCACATGAATAATTTTACAGCTCTTTTTTTCATTTAAATCAGCCTACATTCACTGACAAAGCTGCCACAACGTGATCTTTATCAACTGAAACTATCACTGTATTATTTGGATGGTGTCCAAATCTTTGTCATCCACCTGTCAAAGCACACTCAAACAAACTGATCACTATTTCATTTCATACTGTCATCTGTTATGTTCATTATAGGCAGATAGCTTTGAAAAACCTAATTTAAACATGATCAAAAAAATAAATTTCACACATTAAGGCATTTTTTTTTTTTGGGGGGGGGGGGGGTTACCCTCAGATAAGGTAAAAAATGTGAATTATTTTTTTTTTTAATACGTGTTCAATGACAATTAAAGTCTAGACTCCCCAGCATTGTGGCTCTGTGGACTGGTGGGACTCAGGTGGGACTGGTTTTGAGGATGGAGCAGTGAGAGACAGCTGGTTTATCAGCTGGTGTAAGGTCCAAAAAGGCAGGCAAAGGCCATAGAAGGGTATCAATAACTATGAATAATGCTGGAACAAGACTATGAAGTGCAACAAACTGGCAACAAGACTGTGATACACAGCCATGGTAAAATACAAGAGGTAACGAGGGTGATGGGAAACAGGTGGGTAGACACAATCAGGATGCAGTTGTGACAAGACCGGGGCAGGGCAGACCAGACAGGAACAAATCTAGAGGAGAGAAACAAGGGTAAGTGAACTACAAAATGAAACAGGAAGGACATGACATTAAACACAAATGTACATAAATACAGGAAACTTAACCAATGAATAAACAGAAGTAAAAGGGAACTTATCAGACATGACAGCTACATGCAGATTCATGCTCGTGCTTTTATAGTCTACGCTCTCAGATTGTTCTCCATACTCACAGATTTGTACTTAATTTTTTTTTTTTTTTTCATTTTTTCAACATATTGAGGATCTGTCCATGTGTTGTATATCAAGAGGTCTAATCTCTCCAAAGGACATTGGGTTACCCACTGAAGCCGAGGCTTTCGACGCTGCTGACCCCTCCAGACCCAGCAGGAGCTGCCTTTATGACACTAATGCAGACTCAAGTGCTGCGTCCGAATTGCCCGCTCGGATACTACATGCTACTGCTACATACTACTGCTAAATCCTACTCCTACATACTAAACACGTTGGCCCAATTCGGACACACTAGATGAGCGGTGGGGAAAGACGACCCCCGCAGGCAGAGAGTAGGTACTGCGCCCGTGCAGACAGTGGTAACTGAAGCCCCTCATCTGGCTGTAGTACTGCAGCTGTGCAGTTTAATGATGGAATAAGTGAGCTTTACCTCCATGATGTCGCCACATATTTGCTCATAAAATGATTACTTGGGCAAATATGACACCATGACATGACAAAGAGATACAACCGCACATTTTTTAGGACAGTGTGTGAAGTTACATGAAACTTACATCTGTACTGCTGCGGTCCCGCCTGCTGCTGCTGCTCCGACATGGTGTGCGCTGCTGTGTCCAGCCGGCGTTCATGACACATTTAAATAGGCAGAGCAGCTGGTGGCGCTAGCATCACATGCGCTTCTACAACTCTTAAGAGGACGAAGAAGAAGCCCGCGGTGCATTTTAGGTCAGTAGCATGCCCGTAGGATGCACCGAGACCAACCTACAATGTGGGCGTGTCTAGTATCTGAAGTAGTATCTGAAGTAGCATGCTACTCGCTCCGGTGGCCAATTCGGACATGCTAGATACTACTTCGACTACTACTTCGACTACTACTTGGCAATTCGGACGCAGCTAAGGTCCTTACACAACAAGCGCGAATTCGCCAGGCGAATTATTCGCCTTTTTTTAAAACAGCATAAAGTCAATGCAAGCTACCACACCGGCGGCGATTTTCCCGCGAGGCGAAAAGATGCTTTTATTTTTTTGCTCTTGTGTCGAATTTTTCGAATATTCGCAGGCGAATATCTGGACCTGCTAGACCTCTGGCCAATCAAAAGTCATGTTGTTGATGATGTCACAGACCCATACGGCTGGAGGAGAGGGAGAAGTTTGAGATTATGAAAACGCAGAGAAAGGCAGCTGAGGTGCATCCAAAACTCTTTCTAACTACTAATGAAGTAGTTTCCTCACAAGATGACACTCTCATGTCTTCCTTAGGTGTCATGCACATTTCACAGTGTGACTTCCTCATCATGCCTGATTCTCCCTCTTAGCTGTTTGACATACCGATGATCTGCAGCTACAGGGCCAACAGAATGACCAGACAACTTGAAGGATCACTGCTCAGCCCTCGCCTCTCCTGGCTGCTGCGGCGTCTCTCACAGCTTTTCCTCCTCTTTCTCCCTCGCTCATAATGCTAGACATGTCAATCAGCAGCCGTTCACACGACACACACCACCACTGGCACCAAGAGCAACGATGGGAGAGAGGCTGGTCATTGCGGTACAGGACCACCCCGCATCTCCTCTCCTCCGTGCCGCAAAGCTACTTTATTAATTTGCTTTGCAAAAAATATACGCATATTCGCTTCGTGTATAGGCGAAAGCGATTTTTCGGACCGGCGAATATTCGCAATTTTCGTCTCGCTTTTTTGCTTCGCTCTGCCAATTCGCCGGTGTGTAAGGACCTTCAGACTTTGAAAGCACCAACAGTGGTCTGAAGAAACGTGTCACACTACCACTCACAGGAGAAAATTAAATGTATTTTTATTGATTCCTCTTCAACTGAAATAATTTATTTTTCCACATTTGAAAGTTTTTTTTTTCCTCCTCCTTGGTGTGAGCCCTGAATCACCTGTGGAGTTAAGGTGAATTAAATATAATGTTTCAATTCACTCTCATCTCATTATAATCCACTATGATCAAAACACCTCACAGCATCTATCAAGTTACAGTGAAGAGGAAGAACTTCCTTTTACCGGCAGAAACCTCGACCAGAACCAGACTCATGTCAGTCATCTGCTGAGACTGAACTAGGTTGTTCTGATTTAGCAATTTAGAGGTAACCTTAACCTGGACCCCAAAGTTGTAAGGAACTGGACTTTGCAGATCTCAATGTGTGTGAACCTGGTCAAATAAATTTTTTAAAATGCTTTAAAACCCTGGTCATCTGGTGGGGTTATGTTAGGTCATTTGGAACAGCTCTTTGTTTAGAGAGAGACTTTCCCAGAAGCAGTGATTGTAGAGTGTTATTCATGAAAAATTTAAACACTGTCTTTTTTTAAGAAAGAAATAAGGACATTAAATAAAACAAGGTCCAATGGAAGTTAAAAATGTTGTCCTGATTTTTCAAATCAAGGTCCACGTTACAGTGTCAATTAGAAGAATAATGATTATTGATGACACCAGCTGCCCAGCTCTGATAGCCTATGCCATTTTTAGGAGGTAGGTCATCAGCAAAATTACATATTGGCTCTTGATGTGGTCCTGATTTATCGGCACTGACTGAATCGCAGTCCTGATGATATTTAGTCCAACAGCACTCCCCCTGTGTGCTATAATCTCCTGAACAAAAAGACCAGGTTGGAAAGTAATGGAACAGATCTGCTTTCTGAGCACATCTTTCTTATGTGGCTTCCTCTGACAAATCGAGTTTGATGGTGTGAGCAAGAGTCTCAGGATTTCCAGTGGTTCACTTTCTCATGTGTTTCCATAATATCCCAACAGGCAGGGACACTCTGTGGTTAATACTGTCAGCAGATGCTACCAGGCTGAGAGAAGAAAGAGCCACATCTGCGTCACTTCTCATCTTCCCTCTCATTTTTACTTCTCTCATCTGTGAAAGGAAACTCCAGCGCTCACTCCAGGTTATTTCTCATCCTAGTTCAGCAGACCTGACTGGTAAGGTTACATTTGCACTTTGCAGTTTGTCAGGGGGGTGCAGTTTCACTTTTCTGACTCTGGTAAGGTGATCATCAGAGACAAGGGCCAGGTTTGTGTGTGTGTGTGTGTGTGTGTGTGTGTGTGTGTGTGTGTGTGTGTGTGTGTGTGTGTGTGTGTGTGTGTGTGTGTGTGTGTCATTGTCTCACCATCAGAGATAGTGAGAGGTTGTGTGAATGTTTCCAGTGTTTGATGTGAACAAATTCTAAGTGGTAGTCTCTGGGCCTACTTTTATAACCCAGCTCTCTGTGTTGACTTACCTGACCATTTATTTATTAGGGGGGTCTCCGATTTGGTTTCTGTTAAGCTGCTTAGCAGTGGAGGTTTTGTTTCTTGTTTTTCTGAGCCTTGTTTTTGTTGATCTTAGTGTTTATCCCATTGGATAACTTTCAGAACCCCTTCTCTGTCAGATAAGTGTCAGCAGTTGTGTCGAAATCCCTCCCGTTGTCACACAGTTCAATTCCAGCTCCTACAGTTCACATGCTGAAGAGTCCTTGGACAGGACAGTGAACCTCAAACTGGGTCCCTTGTGTAGCCTTCTCTGCCATCAGCTTATAAACTCTTCAGGACAAGCAATTTTGACAATTTCCCAGTTTGGGATCAATAAAGTCTATGTATGTATGTATGTATGTATGTATGTATGTATGTATGTATGTATGTATGTATGTATGTATGTATGTATGTATGTATGTATGTATCTATCTATCTATCTATCTATCTATCTATCTATCTATCTATCTATCTATCTATCTATCTATCTATCAGTGATCATTTTCAAAAAGCTTACAGGAAGCTCTGCCTGTGAAATTTCCAGAGTAGCTGGTTCACACATGTCCTCCACAGCATGTAGTGCCCCCTGATGGCTGAGAGCCCAGATATCAAAAAGTGATTAAATCAACACTGAGATATTGTCAGGCTGAAAATTGTGTTCAACATTGATGTCTGACATCGAAAAATACATTGAAAGTGCTCGCTGTGATCAACTATGAAATAATGAAAGAAACATTGAAATAATGTCGAATTGCATCAGCAATGATTCAACTTTATACTGTATGCCTTGCATTACACATTGAGACTATATGGGCCATTTCATCACTTTTCAACCTTCCTCTGTACGTTTTTAATATGCCTCATTAAAAGATAACCACTTTTATTACTCTATGGTATAGTTAAACAAGAAGTGTGCCAAAATAGTTTACTAGTCAGTGACATCACTGCCATATGCCTGAGTGGCAGCGATGTCACTAATAGAGGAGTTTGAAACAACCCCCTGCAGAATTTTTAAACACCATGGATCAAAACGATTATTCGAACGAGGCACATTCAAAACAGATGAAGCCTAATACTATGAAATGGTCTCTTTAGTATGCTATACTGCAGTGATCCTCAACCCTTCTAAACAAAAATCCAACTTTACAGGGACATGTTTTGGGGGACCCCATACTTGATTATAATTTTGTCATGGGTGAATATTGAAAATGTGTTGTGAGCTTGTAATGGATATTTCTTTTTTTTTTTTTTAAGAAACCAAGGTTGAGAACAGCTGCTAAACTGCATGCTCTATTGACAAAAAAGAAAAGAAAAGAGAAATAAAACAATTATTCATTTAGCTATTTATTAAAGATTCCAGGGGAAATACAGGGAACACAAACATGTCAATGTCCTTCAAAACTATAAGACCCCAGTTCAGAGTAGTAAATTATCTGGCCATCTATTTGCCCTAAAAATCCTGGGGACTCAAACATTGCAATAGCAATCAGGCAGTCCTTAATAACTAGTAAGACCAAAGTTCAACATGAATGGAACACATTAAATCAATGAATGCCTCCAACTCCAAACCATTTGTCCTTCTAACTTGTTGACTTTTCTGTCCTTGGTACCCTGCCACTCCTCTCAGGTGCATAATGCAGCAACTTCTGCAGTGTATCCCTGTATTGTAATTCCGTCAACTTGCGATCAAATTGACGAGCAGCCTCTGAAACAAAAAGGGAGCAAAAAAGGTGTTGTAAAGTTAAGTTTAAGTTTAAATTCAAAACCCATCATCAACATTTCCACATCAGTTGTAAAGCAGTAAACCCAGTATTTCATGTGCAGACTCACCAAACATGCAATCCAGCATTAACATGTCCTTGAAGACCCTTTTAAGTCCCTTTCCCGCCCAGTTGAAGATGCAGGCAAGATTGTTTGCCATGGTAGCAGATAGAATTTGCCCAATCATATTTTCAGGATTGGTCCCTCTGACTAATAGCAAGCAGGTAATCTCAACAGATTAGAGAGAAAATTGTTATCTTGTTTAAGAGTACAATGTGCCATGTCAAATGGACAGAATATTGCATTTAATACATGTGAAGCTTAATCCCCATAGACATAATATACACATATAATGTCTATGTCAAGCCTGGCCTACATACACTCTGTAGCAATTAGCTCCATACCGCTAGCGTTTTTAGTTCACCATTATAAACTCATTCACTGCGGTGCTGGTTACAACTATGCTTGTGCAATAATCCACAAAGTTTACATTATATCAAACAGTGACAGCAATATGATGTATCTGAGTGGGATAATAAGGGCTTAGACTGGCTATGACAATTGTTCAGCATGTATGATATAATAATAGGGGAGACGTGCCCGCTCACTCAGTCAACCTCAGAAGCTTAAACAGCTGATCGCAGCACGGGCATGCTGGCACATAAACACACCCAAACTGATGAGCGAGTTTAGGGCAGCCGGGTAACCAAAGGCAACAGGAAAAAGACAAGTAAGTACACACCAGTAAGGGTGCAAAGCCTGGCTCTGAGTAAATCCAGCCATGCCCGGTCTGGAGGTGTCGAACCAGCTGGAGCATACTGCTGATTCATATTGACCTCAAGCTTTCAAACAATGAAACAAAATAAGGGATACTAAATCAAGCAACAAGCCAACCAAGGCAAACAAAACAAACCAAGGAATAGACCACTGTAATTATCATTCCGCCGTACTCTCTCAAACCACTGGACTCCGAGGAATTGGAACACTTTGGGCTCAAACGTAGAGATCCAGACCTGTGTAGGTCTGCACACCTCCTTAATACCTACATGAGGAGTTTGAGATGGGAAAAAGTGAAAAACTTTTGGAAGTTGCTGAGAATTCTTCTAAGGTGGAAACCTTCACTCTTAACTTTTCTGAGTGCTCATTGACAAGTAATGGATGAATTATAAATCAAATTAATGTAATGTTGACATTCATTTGCACACATTCTGCTCTTGTGTATGAGGCCAATCTTCATGCCAAAAACATGTCTTTGTGTTAAAATGTGTTTGATATTATCTGTTTGTGGCAGCTGCTGCTACTAGTTTTAGTTAATCCATTTTTTATGAAGGTTCCTGTTGTTTGGCGTAAACTACCATCTAGATTAAATGTTCGTGAACCACGAAAGTGACTCACAGCCTTATTCCTCAAACATGAGACAGAAGATCCTTGGGCACACCTGTACTCTGTTGTTTCAGCATTGGCCCAGTATGACCCTGACTGTTCTGAGGGTCTTTATCCGTGCCATCTACACAGATCTTTGGAACCAACACAGTCAAAGGGCTATTTAGCAAATATTTCCAGAATGATGTTTATGGCAAACAAATACCCTAATAATCTTCTTCAGTCACATGCAGTGAGATCCAGCTTAGAGAACAGTGGGGTGGAGTATCTGTTCCGCTCCCTCGCTGTCGTCTTGTGTGGAGGCAGAGGGATTGTTGTGTTTCCTTTCTGCAAGCCCCAAACCAACTTCCTGCAAAGTGCTAATTCAGGACTGGAGCAGACTTCAGAGCAGCTCGCAGAGGCAAACTGCCCGGCTGGCATGTAAAATGAATTAATGATGAGTGCTCCCCACCTGTGAACCACACTCTGAGTGTCACACATTTTTGAATAAGGGCCTGATTTTCTGGCTGTTAGATTCCCCATGAGGTGTCGACAGCATGTTTCCTAAAGACCGTGTTTTCCAGGACACTGAGTAATTACTGATGATAGACTCAACAGTGTGCTGGCATGGATAATATGAGTTTATGAGCTGAACCTCTTTCCTGTCAGGACTCTACTTTTTCCTCCGTAAAACTCAGTTGGATTCGTGTTTACGTAAAGCCAGGCATAAAAAATAAACAGCACATTTCCTGTACAAGTGGATTACACATAAGCTGCAAATCCACCTGGAAACACATTTTTGGCTTAATTGAATGCAGTTTTCAAGCTGTATCTGCATTTTTAATTCATTATATTTACAACAGCTGCTGATTAAAAGGAGGACATTGCCTCACACAATTAAAAATAATAAAAAATAATAAAAAAATGAATCCTGTTACATCTTGAAGCCTGCATGATTTACCCATCTCAGGTATCGAAATGTCTGCAGGCTCAAGCATCTGCTTCTGATGAAGAGCAAATACATCAAAAACCTTGCACCATTCACAGAAAGCTCAAAGACAGGCGATGCTGAAAGCTGTCCACCAACCTGCTGCTCACTGCCCCTTGAGGGCAAAACACACATGTGAACACACACACTGATGGACAGCGTTTGTAGCTCCTCCAGCAGTCTGAGCTGTGGCAGCAGGTAAGATCCTGCTGCAGTCAGGCATCCATCTGGAAAAGAAGTCATGCTCATCAATCACGACATGCAGCACTGTGGGTTGGCCCAGCTCTCTGAGTGTGGTGAATGAGGGTCTGTGCAAAAAAACAAAAAAGAGAAAATTTACTGCTGCGACTTTCAGAATTGCACTCATACAAATACAGATGTTTGTGAAGCAGCCAGAGCCTCATGTTCCCAACAGTAGTGAACAAGCAGGCAGCAGCCTGTGGAAGCACTTAGCCCAGGTTACCTCATGAAGGTACCGCTGTGTACGGCACTGACCTGTGCACCTCCAAGCATGCAGATGAAAATAAAAATACTCCGCAATTCACAGGGTCTCCAATGCATCATTTTCTTTTTCTTTTTTTTTTCTTTTTTTTTTTTTTGGAGGATATTAAAATTTTGCATGTTGTTACATAATGTAAATAAAAAACTGTACATAGAATGGACGTCATCTTCCTCCTCACTGGGTGAAAAATTAATTACAATTCCCTCAGTAGTTTTGATGGGCTGAACTTTACTTTTGTTAAACTCCAGGAGAGGTGGTTTTATCTGAAGACGCTAACACAGTTATTTTCTCTAAAATAACACAATCTGGAGACACTTTTTTTAATAGAGTTTTACACACAGTGAGCCTGTAGGTTTCAGTCTTGAGACAACTTTTCTGAACATGGAGACCAAAATAAGGGAGACAGCTCAATGGTCAAAGTCCATGACTGAGACATGATCCAGAACAGACGCTTATGTGCGTAACATAAAGCCTGGAAGCAAAGGGATGCAGATCTTCCTGAAGTTGATATACACAGTCTACAATGTTAATTTTTGTATTACATTAATATTACCTGTGCACACAACACTCAACGCTTAACGGCCAGGCTCCATCATATCTCGACAAGCTTGTTGTACCGTACTTTCCATCTAGACCGTTACGCTCACAGTCTGCAGGCCTGCTCGTTGTACCAAATGTCTCTAAAAGTAGTAATGGAGGAAGAGCTTTCAGCTATCAGGCATCTCTCCTCTGGAATCATTTACCGCTCGAGGTTCGGGGGGCAGACACCCTCTCAACTTTCAAGAGTAGACTTAAAACGTTCCTCTTTGATAAAGCTTATAGTTGGGGCTGATTTGAACCAGCTCTTAGTTATGCTGCTATAGGTCTAGACTGCCGGGGCTATCTGGCACACTGAGCTAGAGTCTGTCTCTATCTCTTCTTTAGATATTTATGTCCCATATAAGTCACTAACCAGTTTTCTGTCTCTGAGTGTCTCTGAGTCTCTTAGCTTCCACTGGACTAATGCTGCAGACGGTCTGCTGCGGAAATGCCTGACCCCAGTTGCATCATCCCTGATTGTCCACCCTGGGCCCTGAGCTCCTCCATCTCTTTGGCTCCTCTGGACCGTTGCTGCAGACACCCCCTGCCCCTTGGTTGCTCCGGACTGATGGCTGCTGCAGACCTGCCTGACTCTAGCCGCATCGTCTATGATTGTCCGCCTCAGGCCCTGAGCTTCTTCTTCTCTTGGATTTCTTTGGACTGTTAGCCGCATCATCTATGATTGTCCACCTCAGGCCCTGAGCTTCTTCTCTTGAATTCCTCTGGACTGTTACTGCAGACATGAACATCAGCCTCACTAACAATACTGACATTAATAACAAACTAGAGTTGACTACTATTAGGCCTGCTGACTGTAATCACATTTCATTAATTTAACATTGTCCATAATCACTCATATCCTAACCCTGTAAACTGAACTCATTTTGTTTCACCATTACATGAGCTGTTGTTGTTGTTGTTGTTGCTGTTGTTTCTGCTGCCCCCTGTCTCTCTCTCACCCTCGTTCTCTACTCTCTCTCCCTCCCCCTCCCTCTCCTTACTCATTCTCTCTCGCCTTCCCTTATCTTGTTCTCTCGCTCTCTCCCCCTGTCCTCTCCTCTCTCCCCTCTTCTCTCTACCTTCCTCCCCAACCCAGCAGCGGCATGGTGGCTGTCTAACATGAGTCTGGTCCTGCCCAAGGTTTCTGCCTGTTAAAAGGAAAAGTTTTTTCTTGCCACTGCTACTCATGTTAGTTGAGATGGGCCAAAACCCATCTTAGGTTGGTTCTTGATCATCAAATAATGAGCGTGGTCTAGACCTGCTCTTGTTCTTTGAAAAGCGTCTTGAAATTTGTGAATTTGTGCTATATAAATAAAATTTGATTGATTGACAACACACCTTTGTAACACGTGGTTAAATATACTTGATGTGAGTGTCTTTATTTGTGGAGAAGAATGTTTGTCTTACCCCTGGGTTCAACCTCAAAGTCATTAAACCCCTCAGTGCTTATTTGGGAAGTGTGGAGGACCCCAGGTCTTCTGCAGGGCTCAGCACCACACTTGCTGAGGGGCTACCTCTGGTTGTGACCATCTGGCGACAATGCTGGGAAAGCTGGGCAAACCTGGTATACGGTATTACTCACCTCATCCCAGGCTGCTTTGGCATCATCAGCCCGTGGAAGTCTGTTCATGTGACCATAGATCCAGCCACTGCAAGCCTGGACCTCCCGGACCAGAACATCAGTCCATGCTTTCTCCCCTCCCTCTCTCCTACTTATTCCGCTAGGAGGTGCTGAGTTAGGGAGGGGGGATACGCCGCTGGCAAGGCACGCAAATCAAGCCTATTGAGTCTCTGTTTTGGTGCATCCTCTCTGTTAAAAGGCCCAGCCTAGCTGGCAGGCTGGAGCTGGTCAGAGCAGTTTCCTAAGCTCTGAGTGCTAGGAAATGAGTCTTCTTAGGGCCAAGTGAGACTGTTTGGTCCCCTAATGGCTGCACAGTATGGAGTCTGGTGTCACTCAGAGCATTACTGACATGTCCAGATGCCCATTCATTCGGATGTCACTGCATTCCACTTTCATATTGCAGAATTACATCCGCTGTCAAAGCAGGAAAACACATAAATACAGGTGGTGATAAACTGAACTTGCTCTCTGAATTCACAGTTCAAGTTCTCTGTGAACATGTTATTATCAACCATTGATGAAGTACGTGAGATTTGTTTTTATCATTTGGTCATTTGGCTTTCTCAGGTATGTCAATCTCCTGGAGTGAACTGGTCGTGACCTTTTAAACAGGGACATTAAACTGAACCCACATTGCAGATATCTGAGCTTCTCAGCACCCTGTTCTGGTCCCTACAACATTTTTCAGAGCTTCTCTTAAAACACAGAAATATGGTGAGCATTTTTCCAGAAAGACTTTTAGAGACTCAGTATGGCACTGATGACGGTCACTCCAACTGACTCCAGAGGCATCTTTTTTTTTCTTTTATTCAGACTATTTTTAGGACCATGTAGTGTCTACGTTCAGGCCAGATTTCAAGAGGAAATGTGTTTCTGTCACACGATTCATCACAGGAGTCATCCAAGAGTTATCATGGTCAGAGCTGCAAAGCTTAGGCATATTCTCCCTCTATGGAGGGAAAACTGTGTGTAAACTGTGTTTCTGAACCTACCGGCTAAAGTCATGCAGCCAGTGGGAACTGTGATGTCTTTATCAGTTTAACATGTAGGTCTTTGCTTCGACCAGACTTCACCAAATGCTGCATCATGGTTTTGTAGAAATGTCCTTCAATAATAATGTTTATCACTCTTTTAACACTGCACTAAACATTTTCTCAGAGTTATGGATAGAAGCTGTGTGACACTTTGCAGATGCAACCTCATTTTAGCTGGCAGCAGAAATGGTTGAAAAGTTGAAGTGTCAGTTGGGACTGACTGTGTTACACCTAGCATAGTGCATCTAATAATGGCTCTGACACCTGTTATCTGCACATTGTACTAAAATCTCCTAATAACTCTCATTGTAAAAGCAGCGCTTGGATCTCAGTTTTTTTGTTTTATTTTCTGCATGGTTAAGTCTGGATTTTGCTGCTCAGATTAAAGTTTCTGAGGGGTTTAAATATATTTTTGATACCTGCCTTCAGTTCGGTTTCTGGTCCAGCACATGTAAGTTTTAAGGTGACGTCTGACACCCTGTTTTCACATTTGTTTGCCCTCAGCCTCAGTATGTTGAAACAGGATACTCAGGTGCACTTGACTGTGGCACTCACAGTTAAAACTCACCAGAGGGGTTAAAAAAAACAAAGGGAACAAAGTGGGAAAACTGTTGTCTTAGATGAAAGCTCAGTCCAGCATACTGTGGTCTGAGGTGACTCATCTTCTCCCTCTGTTGTTTTAATAAGAAAATCAAGTCGAACCCTGCTGGGGCCTCTGCCATGTAGAGACTTTGTATGTATGAGATGAGGTGTGCTACACAGAGGAAAGTCTAATGAGTGAAACAGCAAAAGAGAAAAGATGGAGATTAGAGAAACACAGACATGTTCAAACAGATTTTAAGGAGTATTTGACCTTTTTTTTTTTTTTTAATATGTGCTTATTTGTCTGTGATGACATTTATGACTCAGTGATCCCATTAAAAAGATAGAACTAGTACCACAACAGCATTGAACATGTCAAGTGAGAAGCTGTTAACACCCACATGCATAAAGGTATGAGTCAATTTGTAGAGTCACTTTCGTTCTTGCTGTCCAATGCAATTATTTCAGTGGATACAATATCAGTTCATGCATGGACATGACCCCCACAGTGACCTGAGTGTTTTCTGCATTTAAAGAAGCACAGTAGAAGGAGGGGGGTTCATGTAGTGGGTGGAGACTGCTGTAGTTGAGTAGAAAAGCTGAAACCTGTTATGTGAAAAGAACAAGAGCAAGCTTATCAGTTTGATTTATGTTACATCCAAAACAAACTTATGGACAGTCAAGGAACTTTATGCAACCATCTTGTGTACCTCCTGCACATTTAATACCCTGAAAGTTGTTTGAAACCTCCTGATTCAATTTACACCGTTTGCTTTTAAATGGGCAATTCAGATTATTCAAAAAAGGACCTAGGAGCTGTTTAGGCTCTCTTGTCAATTTTTATTGCTCTCTTGTCAATTTTTATTCCTCGCAGTTCCCACTTTAGAGAAGCTTTTTTTAAACGTTGTCATCATGGTTCATGTACAGTATGTGCCAGCTGTAATAGATATTTAATTCTAGATATTTAATATCCTCAGTCTGATGCCAATTAAAGTCAGTGACTGTTCCAGTTTTCTTGAGTTTTTATTCCTCCACCACAGAGTGATATAAGCTCTCTCCTCAACCAGTAAAGTTCAATAACTGACTGTGTGCACATGCCAACATTCATGGGGGTGTCTTTTATAATGGGTGCTGATTTGTGCTCCCACACACCCCGTCTTTTACAGGAACAGGAAATAGTGCCGCTGGTATGGCTATTTACTGTAATGTGTTGCCAAGTTTAAATGCCGGTACTAAAAATACTCGGCTGGAATGCAGGATTTGGCAGCAGGGACGGGGTGCTGACCCGGGCTTTGTCGCCACTCTCAGGGACTGTTTTGACAGGAGAGGGCCGTCTGTCAGAGAGAAACCTGAAGCCTGCTCCTTAGTTCAGCTCTGATCTGATCTTTTTCCTGCTCTGTGGGACTGTTCAGGGCTCTGGGAGCAAATGAGAGGGGGTTTTGGGGGGATTGCTATTCCAAGGGTCCTTAGGGAGAGTCTTCTGAAAGGCTTTTTATGTCTTTTCTGTCTGCCGTACAGCACTGCCCTGCCATCTGATAGCTAAAAGTACCTGTAATAGGTATCAAGGCCAGGACTGCTGGACGGATCAGGCTGTTCAGACGTCTGCTCCACGTCTGCTTCCTGCTCCACCCCCTTTGCCTCCCTCTGTCCTGTTAGCTAACTGGGCTGACTCTCCTCCAGAACAAATATTTGTTTACATTCAGGTGACAAAAGCCTCACATGGACTGTAGAGTCACAGCAGGAACAGGAGGGAGGAAGTCAGGTGATGTGTTAATAGTGTGTTAAAACCTGCAGAGAGAGCCGTCAGGTCAACAAAACATCAGAATCTCACTCCAGGAACAGATCTGACGAGAAGGTCTTCATCTGCAACACTGTTCTTCAAATTATAAACAGGTACGCTAAGTTTAAAGGGCAAACTATAAACTATAATTAAACAATATAAATGATAGCAACCTATTAGTTATTTAATATATAACATTCATGTACAGTTATTTAACCATGACCATCCTGTTACCTCCTCATCTGTTGTTCATCTCCTTACTCATTTATTCATCCAGTTTTTTTTTTCTTCTGGTACTTAAATTGTGTATATTGTATATAGTTTTATTTTCCTCTTCCTTTTTCCTTTTCTAAATTTTTTCTTTGTAACATTTAAGTTCTTAATATCACAATCTTTATTCTTATAACTGCATTTTTGCACTTTCTTTGTCTGTGTTGCTGCTGTGGCAAAAAAAAAATTCAGTCAGATCAATAAAGGAATATTCTATTTTATTCTATTCTATTCTAACTAACCAATCAGACATATGCTGTCAAAGCTATTAAACCTGAATAACATAATAGAATAACTCAGAACCCGTAATTAAATTAGAAAATAAGATGTTCTGCACTAATTGAGCAAAAAAAGGATTAAGCAAAAACAAATAATTGACTAAAAACAAAAGAAATAAAGATTCAATGGTAATCCATGGAAACAAACTTAAAGGTAGGGTAGGCAGGATCTGAGGAAGTGCCAGTTTTTGGGAAAAATCTTGAATGTAAACACTACCCCTCCCAACCAGTTCTCCCCTCAGCTCCTCCTCTCCTCCCTCTCTGTTCCAGCAAGCCACGCCAAAAAACAGACACTCCTACTTGCTTGTATCGTTCCAATTAATTTCAGATATAATGCAGATAAAAACTTCAGATAATCACAAATGGGGCCTAGTCAACGTGAAAGTAAAAAGCATTAGTGCAACTGTAGATGCCAGCAGACTACTGGCAAAACCAATGTTTGCAGGACTTCTAAAACTTGAAAAAAGTGACACAATCCAGGACCCGACGTAAAGAGTTTAGCAGCGCTACAACTCGCAGCAGGTCCTGTTTGACAAGAAGCACTTCTGTTACAGAAACTTAGCTCACTTTGTTAAGCTGTTTACCTGTCCAGCAGAAAGGTTACAGGGTCCATAAGATCCCAATGGCTGATGCTTACCCGGCTTTTTAGCTCTTGTCCGGTCTACCTCCTTTTTAATCGCTTTTAATCGTTTTCTTACTTGTGTTGGCAGTCGTAGCCAAAGGAGTATTCAGACAATTCTGTACTTTCTGGTTAGTTTCTACTGTCTGATATTGTAGCATGCTAACTTTGTTTGGGCTCATGCACGTTATCCAATTATGTGGAGCGTGCCTCACAACATGAGGGAGCAGCGTCTGCCTCACAATCAATCAGGTTGGGGGAGGCAGAGAATGGCTTTGTTTACAGTCAGAAAGAGAAGGCCACTTAAAAATATTAAAATGTTGACTACACAGGCATAAAAGAACACAGGGATATCATGATATTACCAAATGTCATCAATAACTAATAGCAGTTGACTGATATTAAAAGCTTTTTGTATATACACCACAAAAAAAGATTCTTTTTTCAACGGAATCCTGCCTACCCCACCGTTAACCAAAAAGATGTTCCCCATGAACTCATACCAAAGAAATACAAATAACGCAAATAAAGGGGGAAAAAATAGAAAACCCAAGGAGGAGGAAAACAGAACAAAATAAACAAAACTACTAACAGAAGTTAGCCCCACAATTAGTTCAACCACTCTGTAAAATCAGTTCACTCAAGATTAGCTAATGAAAGATCAGCACAAAGGATTAATTCAATAAAATAGTTCGGTCATGTCTGCCATGTGGATCTGTTACAGTTTGTTCCTTGTTTATGTTCTACTGTGCAGCATTAAACTCAAATGCTGTCTGAGCAGGGCCAGCAGGGAAAACAGCGAGGCAGCAGTGTTAGCAAGCAGAGTACCAGGGGCTAGACAGCCACAGTGAGACAGAAGCAGGAACACCACAGCCACAGAGCTGGGATAGCCGCAGCAAGGTAGCCACTAGTCAGCAAACAGGCTGCGAAGCAAAGCAGAAGCAAAGCAGCGTTAAAGCAATGCAGCGTCAAAGCAAAACAGCATTTTCCTTACATTAATTTAACACCGCTGGAAGTCCCCAGGGAGACACCCAGCTCACATGGCCCCTGTGACAAATAAAATTAACTCTGGTTAATCCAGAAGAGCAGAAGATGGAGGTGCAGGCTTGTCATATTGACGGAAGGCATACACACTAATCAGGCCAAGGTGAGAGACCCCCAAGAGGGAGAGAAGCGAACCAAGCATGTATCATATGCGGCGATGACAACAATATATGCACAGCACTGGTCGTGAGAGCCGACACCCTGTGTTAGTGTGAGGAGAGGGGCGAGGCAACCCGCAAGGGCAAGGCCAAAGTAAGCAGAAGGGGAGGCTGCTACAACTCCCTTTTATAGAGTGCCCTCGTGAGTTAATTGGCTGACAGGGTACTCAAGACAGCAGGCAAATAAAACTCTTCTAAAAGCGAGGAGACACATCATCCTACCACAAGAATTAAAAAAAAATGCATATCTCAAATTGCTAATGAGAAATGACTTGAATAAGATTGGCCTGTGTCTGCAGTTCCGCAGCATTGATCTGTTGCGTATGTGACCAGTTGTCATTGTCCCCCACACCCATGGCATCATGTCAAAAAGGACACTGTTTCTAATGTTATGACCTGGGGTCATATGTTTCCTGTTTCTTTTTTTCAGCAGCACATTTTGTTTGTGGGTAACCCTCCCTACCTGTGGTAGGTGCTGTTCCTGTGTCTGTTTTATTTTTCAGGAGAGGACTCTGGCCTGATTGGACAGCAGCTGAGGAGGGAAGCTGTTAAAAGGGTGACTGCTGGAGGAGCTCTCTCTCTCATTTCCTTTGTCTCAACTCCCAGCAAGACCTGTGTTTCGTGGAGGCTCTTTTGTGTTGAAAATTGTGGAAAACTTTGTGAATTTTGATTTGTCTTCATGACAAATTGTTTAAGTTGTGTTAAGAGCAGTCTGGTAGGTAGGGGTGGGCAGCTATTTCATTTCAGACTTTTCTCGTGTTTTGGATAGGGAGGCAGGTAAGACCCCCTGTATTTTATTTACTACATTTTTGTTTGTGAGGTAAGGTAGTTTTAAATAAGAGGTTTTGTTTGTTGTTTTGGCCTGTGCCCACCCTGAAGTTAACTACCATTTATGTTTAACAATAAATTAATTTAAGACTGCTAACTGTTGTTGATTGTTGGTTTTCTTGGGGAGTTGGGGCAGAGGAAGGGAGCACTTTATGTTGCGTCCGGCATACCCCTAGGCCGGGTCGTAACATAAATTGGGGGCTCGGCCAGGATCTCAATTGTTGCTTGAGCTTGTGTACTAGTGTTGTGTATTTAAGATAATTCTGGTTGGTATATATTTTTTGGCACGATGGAGTTTAATTTGGAGAATTTTGTGAAGAATCCCACTTTAGAGCAGCTACAAAAATGTAGAAAAGTTGATTTGTTGCTCATTGCAAATCAATATAATATTGATGTGGCAGCGAATCCTAAGAAGGAGGAGCTGCTTCAGCTTGTAACTGGTCAGCTTGTGGATAGAGGTTTGCTGCCCTTAGGAGGTGCAGAGAAGGCTGATGTGGCATCCCCACAGGCAGTTCCACCTGTCGCTGCCGCCCTTTCTGACCCTCCTGTGTTGCTGGGGATGTCGGCTGAGGAGCTCAGACTGACCCTCCGCCTGAAGGAGATGGAGGTGCAGGCCATGCAGCTGAGGGTGAGCGCTTTGGAGCTGGAACGCCTGCCTAGCACCACCAGTCAACCCAGTCAGCAAACCCCACACTTATCTGCAAGCAGTTTTGACGTGAGCAAACACATTGCTCTTGTTCCATCCTTCAGAGAGTCTGAGGTGGACTCGTACTTCAGTGCATTTGAAAGGATAGCAGCTGCTCTTAATTGGCCTAAGGATGTTTGGTCCCTGTTGCTCCAATGCAAGTTGGTGGGTAAAGCCCAGGAGGTTTGTGCCAGCCTCACACTTGAACAGAGCTTAAACTATGACATTGTTAAAGCTACTGTGCTGAGGGCTTATGAGCTTGTGCCTGAGGCTTATAGGCAAAAATTTAGATCATGTGTGAAAAGTGAAAAACAGACCTATGTCGACTTCGCTCGAGATAAAGGGGCTCTTTTTGATAAGTGGTGTCAGTCCAGTAGAGTTAATGATTTTGCCAAGCTGCGTGAGCTGGTACTGCTGGAGGATTTTAAAAAGTGTCTACCTGAGCGCATGGTCACCTATCTAAATGAACAGAAGGTTGCGTCTCTGGCTGAGGCAGCAGTCCTGTCTGATGAGTTTGCGCTCACTCATAAAAGTGTGTTCATGTCCTCTGTGCGCCGTGATCCGCCCGTTCGTATTGAAAATAAACGGAGATCCCCAAGATTGTCCCGGCGTGGCGAAACTGCCAACGGTGAAAATCGGCTGTGTTTTTATTGCCACCAGTCCGGTCACTTCATCGCCGTCTGCCCAGTGTTGAAACAGAAAGAACAGGCTAAAGTTAAAAGTCCATCACCAGTGGCACTGATCCAGTCACAAACAGTGTTTCAGCAACAAGAACGGCCGACTGATCAGCTGCCTAAAGAAATAGACGATGACTTTAAACCATTTGTGACACAAGGTTTCGTGTCGCTGTCCGGGTGTGAGGCAGACAGAGTCCCGATAACTATTTTAAGGGACACTGCGGCAAAACATTCTGTTGCTCGACGTGGAGTCGTGCCATTTTCTCACATGTCATATTGTGGGTCTGATTTGTTGTTGTGGGGATTAAAAATGAGCGTTATTCGTGTGCCACTTCATAACATCCATATCTTCTCCCCCTTAGTGTCTGGCCCGGTGCGGGTTGGCGTGCGCGATCAGCTGCCGATTGCAGGGGTCGACCTCATCCTCGGGAATGATTTGGCAGGAGGTAAAGTGTTCCCCAGCAGTCCTGAGGTGACGGACGATCCCGCTGCTGATGTGTGCGTCTGCCCTGCTGAGCCTGAGATACAGCCTGTGTTCCCCTCGTGCGTCGTGACGCGTGCCCAAGCACGTAAGTTTGAGGAAGTGACAGAAAATGAAAGTGTTACCGTGTCTGTTGATGTGCAGCTGGAAGAAAATTTGTGTTTATCTGTTAGTAAAGAGGAACTAATTAAGGCGCAGCAAGCCGATGGCACGCTGGTGAATTGTCTCTCCGCTGCACAAAATAAAGAAAAAACAAAACTTGTGTGTTTCCTGTTTGATGATGGTGTTTTGATGAGAAGATGGTCCCCGACGAATGGTGTTAGAAAGCGAAAATCCCGTGTGTGTCATGTGAATATGTTAAAAAAATATGTCGCTCGTGAAAATGATGACGTGCAATTCGTTGAGCCTGTAGCCTGTGTGGCACCTGTGGTGTCCCCCTCATACAGTGCAGAGGAGGACGGGCTGCGTGAGCAGCCAAGCTCAGTTCAGTGTGCTCGCTTAGAAAATTCTAGAGTCTTGGAAAATCTCGAGGAGCATCTGTCGTATCTGTCTGATCCGGCAAAACGCGACATTTGCTGTCTCATCCGTCGCCACAAGCATCTTTTTAATGACACACCCAGTCAAACTAATGTGCTGAAACATGATATCGATGTTGGTCACAGCAAGCCAATAAAGCAACACGCATACCGCGTTAACCCAGTAAAGCGGGCCGCGATGCGTAAAGAAGTTGAGTATTTGGTAGAGAATGGGTTTGCTGTGCCCAGCTGTAGTCCGTGGAGCTCCCCCTCCTTACTGGTTCCCAAATCCAACCAAACTCCACGGTTTTGTACAGATTACCGTAAAGTGAATGCCATCACCCAGCCCGACTCCTTTCCCTTGCCCCGTATGGATGACTGTGTAGATCGTGTGGGGTCGGCCAAGTATGTAACGAAGTTGGACCTTCTTAAAGGGTATTGGCAGGTGCCCCTTACAGAACGTGCATCCGACATCTCTGCTTTTGTCACCCCTGATCACTTCTTGCTGTACACCATGATGCCTTTTGGGTTGAGGAATGCGCCGGCCACTTTCCAACGGCTGATGAATAGAGTCCTTTCAGGTGTGGAGAATTGTGAAGTCTACCTGGATGATATTGTCTGTTACTCCTCCACCTGGCCCGAGCATGTTAACATCCTAGGAGAAGTGTTCAGAAGGTTGGAAACTGCTTCACTCACATTAAACTTAGCAAAGTGTGAATTTGGAAAAGCTGTGGTCACCTACCTGGGTAAGCAGGTAGGACAGGGACAAGTGCGCCCCCTGTCGGCCAAAGTCCAAGCCATCCTGGACTTTCCTGTGCCAGAAACACGTCGACAACTCCGGCGTTTTCTGGGCATGTGTGGGTACTACAGAGGCTTCTGTAGGAACTTTGCCAGTGTTGTTGCACCCCTCACTAGCTTAGTTAGCCCTGCTGTAAAGTTCGAGTGGACTGACATGTGCCAGGAGTCTTTTGCTTCCGCCAAGGCTCTTCTGTGTAGTGCACCCGTTTTGTCGGCACCTGTGTTTGACCGTCCCTTTAAGGTCGAGGTAGATGCCAGTGCTTATGGCGCAGGTGCGGTCCTTTTGCAGGAAGATGATAAAGGCATCGACCATCCCGTGTGCTACTTCTCTAAGAAGTTCAATAAATATCAGTTTAAGTACAGCACCATAGAAAAGGAAGCCCTCACCTTACTGTTTGCTTTACAGCATTTCGAAGTTTATGTCGGTTCCAGTCCCATTCCGGTTATCGTTTTTTCTGACCATAATCCCCTTGTGTTTTTGTCACGCATGCGCAACCACAACCAGCGCCTTATGCGTTGGTCCTTACTGTTACAGGACTACAATATTGAGATCCGCCACATTAAAGGGGCGGATAATCTGGTAGCTGATACATTGTCTCGGGTAGGTTGTTGAGGTGTGCCTCATGTTGTGTTTAGGGTGCTATGGTAATTTTGATGTTTCAGTGATTCAAACATTTATTTAGAGAGTATAAATGTTTGATCTTAGGTAGGGGGGTGTTATGACCTGGGGTCATATGTTTCCTGTTTCTTTTTTTCAGCAGCACATTTTGTTTGTGGGTAACCCTCCCTACCTGTGGTAGGTGCTGTTCCTGTGTCTGTTTTATTTTTCAGGAGAGGACTCTGGCCTGATTGGACAGCAGCTGAGGAGGGAAGCTGTTAAAAGGGTGACTGCTGGAGGAGCTCTCTCTCTCATTTCCTTTGTCTCAACTCCCAGCAAGACCTGTGTTTCGTGGAGGCTCTTTTGTGTTGAAAATTGTGGAAAACTTTGTGAATTTTGATTTGTCTTCATGACAAATTGTTTAAGTTGTGTTAAGAGCAGTCTGGTAGGTAGGGGTGGGCAGCTATTTCATTTCAGACTTTTCTCGTGTTTTGGATAGGGAGGCAGGTAAGACCCCCTGTATTTTATTTACTACATTTTTGTTTGTGAGGTAAGGTAGTTTTAAATAAGAGGTTTTGTTTGTTGTTTTGGCCTGTGCCCACCCTGAAGTTAACTACCATTTATGTTTAACAATAAATTAATTTAAGACTGCTAACTGTTGTTGATTGTTGGTTTTCTTGGGGAGTTGGGGCAGAGGAAGGGAGCACTTTATGTTGCGTCCGGCATACCCCTAGGCCGGGTCGTAACACTAAGGATGAGTGCACTGACCCTGGGTATTTCACAAAGATGTTTGTAATTACCTCTTCTGAGTCACACACAACTTAAAATTTCAAAAAATGTTTGTGCTTGCAATTCCGATACATATGTTCCCTATCTGAGAGGGGAACAAGTTACACATGAGTGCAGTCTATTGCACTTATGGTTTGAGGGAAGCCAGCAACTGCATAAAAGCTATGTTTTGTGTCATATACGCCGGCACGAATTGTGATGGTGCACTGGAATGATCCAGATGCAAGAAAATGCAGTGTTACAAGGAGTTTACCATAGGAGGTATGGCACGAATCCTTTTGTGACTAGCCCCAAATCACCCCTTAGGTCATCCAGCAGCTGAAAAGTTAAATAGCTGAATAAATGATACATCTCTACTATTTTACTCTCTGAAAGACCAAATATGTTCACACGCTCATGGAAGATTCTCGCTCTCTGTCGCCTTTCATGTATGCCTCCTTCTTGCCATGACTGCAGCCATTTTCGCGTAACGCTTAGCACGTTGGAAAGGCAGGTGCAAACTGGCAAAGTATAGATATAAAACAGGGGGCGCTAATCAGTTTCAGGTTTGATAAATCAAATTGCGGATGCTAAATGATTACATTTGCATCTTCTCCTCCCAGAATTTTGCGCAGTCTGATGACCTACATACAATCTGCATATTCATGAAGGCAAACACATTAAATGGATCGTGTGTGCTACTTTGCTAATTTGACAGACACAATGGTTGGTGCACCCACTATCAAGTTTGCATATGTTTTAGAACACGCAATCCTTTAGTATTTCAGGCCCATAGTCTTTATCTGTAACATTGTTAAAGTGCTTAGCAACAAATCTAACGACTTTTCTGGAGTTTGGAGACTCTGACATCAAGCAGGTATTGATGTGAATCTTGTCAACAGGTAGAGGGTGTGCATCAACAGTAAACATAAACACACACATGTCGTCATCTAATGACTTCTACCGACTTCTAGAACAGCCAAAAGCGACTTCCCTTACAGTGGAGTTGGTAACACTGCTTCCAATTTACTGGTGCTATAATTGATTGACCATCGGAAGAGTTAAATCATGTCTGATTCTGAGGCAAGAAAACATCAAACAACAAGTAAACTTAGCATTGACATACTGCTCACAGCTGCCTACTGTGTTATTTTAACATATAATTTGCTAAACTGAAAAAAAACTCAGCTCAGGTAGCTTAACCTGTATTAGCTAGGCATGGCAGCATTGGCGGTTTGCACACAACATAAAATTAGTCTCAGAAACAAACCTCATTTATAGAAAAGCTTACAAAACAATCTGGTGGCAAATTAAAAACAAAACTTTTATTGTAGCTTGTTCAAGAAGAGAGCCTTGACTCTGGGGATGAATACTCTCCAATGCCATTCACAGCAGGACGAGGCACGCAGGGGAGGTGAGGTAGAGGAGGAAGGCTGGCACAGCAAAGCCACAGGGGTTGAGGACACGGCAGGGGCAGAGGCTCAACCGAGAGGTTAACGAAGAGACCAGGGTCCCCATGCATTGGCACAGGAGGAACTTGTCTGCTTGAAGACCCTTCAAGCCCAGAGAATGGAAGATGAGCGAGTTTTTGTGAGTTTCATATAAATCAATTTTGGCATGCCATTTCTAAATACAAGATTGTAACAAGTTGTTTGATGTGTTTTTTTCCAGGCTGGAATAAGGACACTTGCACTGGCAGAGATGCAGCAACTGATGGGGCTGTGTTTGGAGAAGGACTCCAGACTCATTTTTTAAGTACTGCCTGCCACAGCCCCAAGTGGTTCTCAAGACCCAACCAGTTAACCTGGCCTTAGTGTACCACCACTACCAGGGTGCACCTGTGGAAGATGCAGGGAAAAGACCAAGTATTGTGGGTCTTGTGTGTCCATGCTCCCACATATGGATGCTTATATCTTACAGGTAAGAGTTTTGCAATTAACTAGAAGGGTCTGAAATGACATTCGAGCCACTGTTGACAGCCCTGACCCTGGAGAGAACAATAAACAGTTCCAGTTTGGTGCATATAGACAGTTAGTTGTCTGGCAATACGGAGCACTGGTACGGGGGCACAGAGTGGTAATTCCAAGTTGTTGGCTTTGGAGAATCAGGGGAAAATACCCAGATCCACATGGACATGACGCAGGATTCATTTCTCAAAGGGTTTCAAGGGTTTTTTTTTATGATGTACTCATACCCTGAGTCATTTAAAAGGATGTACATAGTGGAACCTGTTTACAATTTTCTGTGCAATGTCAATGCTTTACTGCAATATTTTTTATTGAAGTGAGTTTTTTTTTTGTTCTTTTTACCTTTGTATTTTGTTGTATATACGCCTTTTTACATTACACTGCTGTCACAGTTTTTTTTCTCATAAATCATTAAAGCTCCATGTGCATTTTATTAACAATTACATCAGCAAACACTTAACAACTTGTAACAAAATAAAGTCAGCAACTATAATGGTGCATGCCTTTTAGACACCACCTTTCTTGCCACTTCTAATGTAGAATGTAAAGTTAAAATTAGGTGGGGAGGCCTCAATGTGAATAACTGGCATGTCTGTACCCAGCCACATTTCAGTTAAGAATAAACAATCAACCTTGTTATCTAAAATAAGGTCATGGATAATAAAAGATTTGTTTAAAGGGAGTGAACATTTAAAAGTGCCATGCTGATGGTGACCGGTGACTTACAGACTGTACGATTGGACTGTTGATGTTTTGGGAGAGGTCTGAGGTTATTTAAGTTCACAGAGTGAACATGATGGAGTCTGGTTTTCTCACGCTAAGTGATGATGACAGGAATGGGTGGATAGTTAATGAAAACAGAAGGTCCATGTCCAGTATTGTGTGGGTCAGAGGTAGGGTTGGGTATCATTTGATTTTGAACGATTCCGAATTCGATTCCTCATTTCGATACCGATTCCTATCGATTCTCTATTTCGATTCTTTTAAAAGGCAGGATATCCAAAAAAAAAAAAAAAAAAAAAGCATGGTTTGAATGAGGGTGCTAACCGGAGCTCTTCTTTTTGGATGAAATTTCTGAACTTCTCCATGAGTTTTCAAATTCTATTAAGTTTTTAAGAACTTTGCTATGAATTTCCCACAGGGCTATTTTCAACCAGTATATAAACATCAATTTTTGTTGTCGGGTCATTCGTCTATGAAAAAGTACAAGGGCTAACGTTAGTTGGATATTTAAGTTAACTCACCGTACACAGTACAAATTGTTTACCGCTTCAAAGATAGCAGAGGACAGAAGCAATTTATTGTTTCACTTATCTGATCCTGACTGGTTAGCGGAAGACAGGTGTTGTGCTGTAGAATGCACCCCTGCTGTAGAATGCCTCCCCTCCACTCATTAGCTTCTTAAAGTGGAAGACAATGATCTCATATTTAAAAAAACCCACGAGTATTAGATCATGAAAACATGTCAAATGGAGCAGTAAACTTTCGTTTTGTTTTTATGTGTCTCAAAAATGCACACATAGAGGTGTACTTGGGTATATAAACTGTACAGTAAGCTGTTAAGGTAGAGAACATTATATTTTCGGGACAGTAAAATTCCGAATCAGAGGGCTGTTGTTTTCGGCATATCTGAATAACCTGAATGAAATCATTAAAGGCACACGCTTTAGATTCCGTTCAACGGTAAGAAAAACTTGGATTGTTTCGCCTTGTTGTGTACTTTAAACCGTGCTCCCGTCAGGGGTGCATTCAACGGCAGGGGTGCATTCTATGGCACAACACCAGCGAAGCGCGTCAAAGACGAGAACTCTGGTATTTCTCCACCATGAATCCTGAGGTGTTTAATCATGTTGGTCGTTTACCCTCCTTTGCATGATATAACTGTATTGCTAATGTTGCATTGAGATAAGAGTTTATTCTTCCTGCTAAGGTTAGCCAAACTTTTGACCAACGAAGAAGAAGCTGCCGAACACCGACGAGGGCGGAGCGTATGAGACGAAGCCACACACAGAGAAAGGAGAGAGACAGAGAGAGAGAGAGTACATTGTAACCCACAGCGGCTGCATTGCTGTGGGTTGCAATTAACTTTCTCTCTCTGTCTCTCTTCACTTTCTGTGTGGCTTCGTCTCATACGCTCCGTCCTCATTGGTGTTAAGCGGCTTCTTCTTCGTTGATATTCAGCGGCTATTTCTTCCGGCATTTCGATGACTCTGGCATCGAAACTTGGAATCTAAATTTTAATATTTGAACGATACTGGAAGAATCTAAATGTTAGTCCCGGTCCCCATCGATACTCGATTCTCGATACCCAACCCTAGTCAGAGGTGGAACTAAAACCATAGGAACTGGGATCTGGTGGACATCAAAAAGATCGGTGATCTTTTTCTTGGCTCCCTTAAAGTTGTTGTCGTACTTCTGCAGGTAAGTAAGCTTCCATGGCGGTAACCTCCATGGTTGCCATGTAGCTCACTCAGTAAAAGTGTAGAAATCCCAAAGTCCAATGACTTAAACCTTTTGTCCAGTAAAAAGAGAAAGTAATCCTTTGCTCAGGGCACAATGTATTAAAAACAATCAGAACCTTTTAAAACCAGATAAAAGCGGCAGCTTGCTTGCTATCTACTGCAACAAATAAAAAAATTAAAACCGATACACGGTAGAAGTTCAACTTAAAAGTAAGCAAACGCCTAAATTGCAGCCTTAAAAGTTTAAAACCGGTTAAAATTGGGTTAAAAAGTTGCCTTCAGGTGAGAGAATTGGCTGAGTGCCAAACGACGCAGACACATGCATAGATCAGGCTTTAAGAACTGATGTCCAATGAAGTCCTCCTCACACTCAACCTGTGCTCTTGTGATGGTTGTGTCATTTCTGGAGGTTGATTCTCATCCATGTCATGCACAGTGTTCTCAACAACCAACAGTAGGAAGCCAATTCAACCACTGCTCCTTTTGTAGCGCTCTGCCTGTCCTGTGTAACAAAGTAGAAAACCCCACCAAAGAGGTCTGAATTCTTGGTTCCAAATTCCAATGCTCTGCATGAAAGCAATGTTATTTCTTCTATTTCTTCTCATTTTTTTAGATTAGTTTGCTATTGTGGCACAATTAGTTTCATTTACCACACAAATGTAATATAAAAGACTCCATGCATGCTGCGATTCCCTGTCTGAGAGGGTCTCAGCATACATACTCAGCTGTGGGGGAGGAGGCAGTAAGTGCTTGGTCTTTCTTTTCTTGTTGTAAGGCATAGATGAAGGGGCCAATCCTACTTTCTCATAGCTATCAAAAGACAAAAAAAAGTCACCACTCTGCACTGAAAAAGCTTTTTTACTCAACCAAAGTTTCCTTCAGCAATTTAGTGATACAAACAGACATGGACTTTGCTAAAAAAAAGATCAACTTGTTTCTATGGTGCCTTGCATATACTCCTATCTGTAAACTTTTGTAAGCTGCTTGACAGTCAAAAACAACACTTAAACTAAATACTACTTATGAAGCATCAGTTCCATGGAGCACAGCCAGTGTGAAGCAGATAGCACCGGTGCCAATGTAGATCCATGCTAACAGGCTACCTGCCAACCCTTTGTCTGAAGGACTTTGATAACATGACATATTTCAGGACCCCAGATAAATATTAAAGGCAGTAACAGGTCCTGTTTTACATAAAACAACTCTGTTACAGTAATTTTGCTTACTTTATTTCAACTACAACTCAGTCAACTGGTGCCAATGTAGACATGCTTACAGGCTACTTGCTAACACTTTGTTTGCGGTTTCTCAGTGACTAAACTAACAGGACATCTTGTAGGGCACAAGACAACAAAAAATAAATGATTTTTGCAATTGACCTATCCAGTAGGAAAGTTGCAAAGCTCGCATCTGATTTAGAATTTCTTAAATGTCAATTGGTCTTCCACCGTTAAGTGGCTATGCCAATATTTATTTGGGACCTATTTTCTTGCCTGATCTCTCCTCTTCTTGAGTGCCTGTTTTTCAGCTACAGTCCTTGGACTATTGGTGTGTAGGCAGTCTGGCCAAAGGAGGACACGGCTTTTTCTCCAGCTTCTCCAGCTGCTTTTCACTATCCACCATTATTACAAGAAAAGATTGTTTTGGGTCTGCTCCAGAGCATGCACTTTGTAGTCGCATAGCCGACCTCCACCTCTAGGGCTGAAGAGGTGGAGAATGGTTTTGTTTACAGTCAAAATGAGTGGGAAGCTCAAAATTATTAGATACAGGTGTAGGAGAACACAGTGATATCGTGATATTACCAAAATGTCATCAATAACTAATAGCTATTGATTGACATTAATAGCTTTTTTGTATATACATACCACAAAAAAAGTTACTTCTTTAGCAGATTCCTTCCTACCCCACCTTTAAGTCTTTTCTATTATTTGGAGGAAAGACAGGATGGCAGTACGGTTACAGAACTGATGTTCCTTTAATTTCTGGACAGAGAGATCTTCGGCAGGTTACCCCTTAAACACAGGATTTAACTTGAAACAGTAAACAACAAATCAGCAGACTAAATTCTATATTTTAATTCTGTCTCCCCAAAACAATCTTATTCAAAGAGGTTTAGAGTTAACCCAATTGCAGCACAAATGAACCAGGTTTTTTCTTGTTTCAAACGGTCTTTATTTGTAGGTAAGGTAGATACACAGTCAATAATGCAGCGGATCAGGCTGGATTTAAACACGGGCCTCCCGAGTGGCAGGCGAGCACGCTACCACGGGAGGGCAGGGAGTGAAGGGGACTCGTGAGCAGATAATTGTCCAAAAGTTCACTACAGGCTCAACAAGTGTGGAAGGGGAAAAGCACAAAGACCTCACTGCTAGTGGAAGTCTGACTAGACACTGGTTCAGATGAGGGCAGGGTGTGGATCCGAACCTGGAGGACAGGGCTGATGGCTCCAGAGGAGGTGAGCTGGTGGGGGGTGGAGAGGGGTCCCTTATGGAACACGAACAGGCTGAGAGCCTACCAACCACAGGCAGACGAGGAGCAGAAGACAGGCAGGCAGTAGTGATGGGACGTTTGAAGCCGAGGCTTCGAGGCGTGTACCGAGTATGAAGGGGGCGTGTCTGGCGAAGCTCCGCTTCGAGGCTTGCATCAGTTTGCTGAAAACCACGTGACCGATGACAAACGAGGCCTCGCTTTGCACAGGTAACGTGACTGGTTCATTTTGCGTGTCGTTTTTCAAAATAAAAGCACGACACAAACGCGGCGCTTCGTGGGTTGTAGTAGGTGGTAGTTTGGTTCGCGCGTTCGTAGCAGAGTTTGGATTGTAATCAGCAGTAGTGGTCGTTAAAAGCATAGAGTTCGTTAGTTACAGTAGAAGTAGTGGTAGAATTAGTAGTAGTTGTAGTAGTAGTAGTACTTGTAGTTGTAGTAGTAGCAGTAGCAGCAGCAGTAGTTAGTCGTAGTAGAAGTAGTAGGAGTAGTTAGTGGTATAGGAAGTTTAATGGAGCAGGCAAGGAAAAGAAAAACTTCCCCCATGTGGGAATATTTCGAAATGGCTTCTCCTAACAAGGTTTGTATAATGTTTGTGTAAATGGTTACTTTATTGCTTTATTATGATTATTAACAATAATTCGTTTGTCATTTTTGTTGCACACTTTTGTATGTTAGGTGAAGTGTTTGCTGTGTGCCAGAGAGCTTGTGTATAATAATAATACCTCATCAATGCTGAGGCATTATCGAGCCATACACGAGGGTGCACAGCCTGCAAACAGGCCAGAAACCAGTCAAAGTAAGAAATTGTTGTCTGTCTTGTTTTCATTAATCAAGTTATGCTAGACGTGTCATCAAATACACTGTAGCATTTTAATTGTTTGCACGTTATGTTCATTATTATTACTATTATTATTATTTTCACAGATTCCAGAAAGCAAGAGCTGGATGAGGCTGTGGCCAACCTGGTCATTAAAGACTCACAGCCATTTTCTATCGTGGAAGATGTCGGGTTTAGGGAGCTCATCCATTTGTTGGATCCCACCTATGTTCTCCCTACTCGAAAGGTGTGTATATGTACCTAACAAAAGCAACTGTATTCATAATAAGTAACCCCATTAACTGAAATGACTATATAACGTCTCCCGGTCAGGCATTAAAGAAGCTGGTGGGTGAGAAGTACACCAAAGCCAAGGAAAAGGCCAAGGAAGATATTCTTAAGGTGTCTGCTGCTACATTGACCGCAGATATATGGACATCAATGAATATGGAGGCCTACCTGGCCATCACCTGCCACTTTATTGATGTCAATGATAAACTCGGCACTGTGTTGCTTGGAGTAGAACATTTCCCAGTGAGTCATACATCAGAGAATTTGGCACAGGCAGTGCGAACTCAGATGGAGGAGTGGGGAATCACCGAGAAGGTGAAATGCCTAGTCACCGATGCGGCCTCAAACATGATCGCATGTGCTAGGGCTTTACAAATTAGGCACTCCATCTGCATCGCTCATGGACTAAATTTGCTTGTCCGCAAATCTTTTGACCAGATCCAAGCTTTCTCCGAAATCCGCATAAAAGTAAAGAAAATAGTGACCTATTTCCGTACAAGCACCTTGGGTAAAGAAAGACTGGATAGGGTACAGATGCAGATGGGAAGACAGCCACAGAAGCTCATTATGGAAGTAGACACTCGCTGGAACAGCACCTACCTCATGCTGGAGCGTCTATTTCATCTGAGAGAGCCGGTGGCGGCAGCTCTTTCCACATTGAAAACTGATGTTAGCCCACTGTCCTCTCATGAATTTGAGACAATTGAGCAAAGCTTACCTATATTGGCCCCATTTCACCAGGCAACAGTAGAGCTCTCAGAAGAAAAACGGGTTTCAATATCGAAAGTCATACCCTTGATGAAGATGCTGCATCATGCAGTCCTGGGAAAGTCGGAGCAGCTCAATAATGATGTGGCAAAGCAGCTGTCAGATAACCTATTAAGGCGTGTTAGAGACAATGTAGCCAGCAATGAGTCCTTAAGCGTCATGACAATGGCAACGTTGCTGGACCCAAGATTCAAAACAATTGGATTCCTGAATCCAATCCGGTCACAAGAGGCAGTACGAAGACTGAAGGCTGAGTGTTCAGCAACAATCAGCAACAATGAAGTTGTTCAACTCCCAGGTCCAGCTGAGGCAGCTGAAGGTACCAGCAACTCTGGTAGGTTTTTATTCATCCTGTAAATTGCTGTATTTTAAACCTTTCAAGTGTTCCATATGATCATTACAAATCTGTTTTAACTATTTTTAGGTGAACTGTGGTCTCTGCTGGATGAAACAGTGGACCAGAGACGAAGAAGCTCCAATGCCACGGTAGATGCTATTGTAGAGGTGGAGCGGTACCTTGCAGAAAACAACCTAAGGAGAAACGAGGATCCACTGGAGTACTGGCATAATCAAAAGCATATGTACCCTCATCTATATCACATGGCACTGAGGTTCTTGTGTTCCCCCGCGTCCTCAGTGCCTTGTGAGAGGGTGGTCTCCAAAGCTGGGGAGGTCATTAGTAAAAAAAAGGAATCGTAAAACAAATCCTCTTCTTAAATAAAAATGATTAACCCCCCCCCCCCCACACACACACACACACACACACACACACACATACACACACACTCTCATCCCCCATCCCAACATACTGCACTGTGTCACCCAAGCACTGAACTTTCATCACACAACACCACATAATAAATAATGAACACTTGATAGCCATGAAAAGCACAAAACAAAATGACAAAGGGATAGAAAATATTTATTAGGAATAAAAAGGGAGAGCAGAGTTATATCAAACACTATAGACTTTATTGTTATTGTACAGGGATTAAACACTATTCTATATTGTGATAATACCCACCCATTCATTTTCTATCCCCGCTTAATCCGCGCTCGGTATTGTGAAAACATTTGAAATCTATTTGAATGACTTGGCTGTAACAGTTTAAGTCGAGCAACAGATGGGGCTAGTGAGCACTGAATGAAGCTTCGAGTAGTGAACCTTTGGGCAAAGCAATGTGCTGGAAAGCCTCACTGCTTCAGAAAGCTTCATTTGGCCATCACCAGCAGGCAGTACTCGTAGTCAGGGACAGAAGGCTGGTGGATCTTTCAGGGCTGAGACGTGAAGCAACGGTCAGAGGCATGTCAGGTCGCTACCAGGTTAGCAGTCCGTGAGTAAGTGCTGGAGAGTCAGGCAAACGACAATCTGGCAATGAGTGAGTGAACTGGTGCTGCTTATATACTGGCTGGGTGATGAGGACCAGCTGGGAGCTACAGGTGGGAATGATTACTGCTGAGCAGGTGACAGCGGCAGGTGGAAGCAGTAGAGCTGATGAGGGGTGTGGCTGAGCAGCAGAGCAGGAGAGAAGCAAAGCGGACTGTGACAGATAAAGTATTCAGTATATACTTTTTACTTTCTCTAAATTCTCGTTTTACCGACCCAACCTTAAATATCTTACAATGTTACTGTATGTCCCCTTGGTTTATTGGCTAACTTTTATCCTGCTGATTTCAACACACTGGATATGTTCAATGTTCAAATCCATGTTCAATACTGAACATGGTTCAGTGTGATTGATGTTTAATTGATGGGACTTGCTCTGAAGTGGCAAGTTGAACGTACCTTTCTCCTCCCCCATCCCATGGGGGTAAGGAGAGGATCACAACGCCAGCACCAGTAGCACCAGTCCAACTAGTCAGCTGACACCACAAACAACTGCAAACCTAACATCGAACAACTACAGAGAGGGTTAACGAAGAGAAGAAGCCTCTTCTTCCTGAACTGCCAAACCACACTCTTTCGAACTTCATCCCCTGGGTAACATTTAACAAAACAAACATTTTAGGAATAGAAAAAAGAACTCTGGCAGGTGGACAGGTGGGAAGTTGACACCTGCACGCTTCCATCTCCATCCACAGTATCAAGATGTTCTGTATTGCTTCCCAGTGTTGCAGCACTCAGACCAAATCTTGGTCAGTTTGATTCATGCACAAAATTAGTCATGCTTCTTCTCAAAGTAACACAGCAGCAAAGATGTAAAGATGCACACATGCAGTGCACCACAAAGATGGTAAAAGCAGATCCTCGCCCTGTTCTGTGTTTTGGTGTTCCTTTTCCCACACACGCTCCTCCTCTCCCATTGTCTTCATCCATCTTTGTGCTCAACCTTCCACTCACCTGTGCTTTCTGAACTGGTGTCATCACATCAGCAGCAGTGTTTTCAGTTGTAGGGTGTTGACTATGTGTGACACCTGTGCTGTAGGTGTAGATAATGGGACGTAGTGTTTTATTACTTGCAAATTCATGTAAATGACCATAAAACACTGTTCGACTGTTCATGAATGCTGAGTGAAAATTCCCTGAAACACATGATGGTTTTACAGCAGAATGAATGAAAATGAACTGAGATTTAAGCCCTAAACCAGCTGCCACACCTGACTTTCATCTGCCAGTGCCTGCTCATGGTCCTTAGCTTCTCTTCTTCTCATCACCAGTTTCTCTGAGCGATGGAGACAAAGTTTGGACTTAACTACACTGAGTTTTGCAGATGGAGGAAATGAACATGCACAGTTAAAAGCTAAAGATTTTCAGTCTCATAGTTTGGGAACTCTCACAGCTGAATAATAAAAGCCCCCACCAACCCAAAATAAATAAATGAATAAATAAATAAAAAAGGAGCTGTGTGCAGAGAGATGAGGTCTGTGATTACCCATGGAGAAAACTAACACAACTGAACTATAAAAAAAGGCATTAATAAACTGGCTTCCAGGTTCTCTGATTAAAACAAAGATAAAAAGAGGAAAAATAAAAACCTTTGAAATTTAAATGAACCAATCTTTCTTAATTCAGTGAACAGCAATGCTCTGATAACTAAAACACCTGCATGAAGAAGTCAGGTCTGTACCGCTTCAGTGGAGAGCTGCCGTTAAAAAAGGACCTGTGTTTTCAACCCTCATCCAAATACATCCTGCAGTTCTGCAGTGTACAACAACGTTATGTTTGCTTTCCTGCTGAATCAGAGTTTAGTGGTGCCAAAGGCTCCTCCACATGTTCCAGTCAGTTATCTATCCTCTGCTCACTTATGACTCCATAGAGCCCTTTGCCTAAAGCAGTAGAGTCAAAGGAGGACAATGCACAGAAAGGGTTTTTGAGGCATTTTGGTCCCATGATAATCTATGGTTTCGATTCATCTATAAAGAAATGCACCTCCAGGTATCAGGCACTAGTGATGGGAAGAACAGTTTTTTTTTACTGTACTAAATCTTTAGAATCCATTCATTAAAACAATTCATTCACAAGATTTGTTCACTTAATCAGTCAGTGCTTCGGAGCCCCGTCCTGTCGGTGCAGTATACATGTGAGGGACACAGCAGCAACTTCTTTCATTGAACGCACCCCTCTTCTCCCCTGCTG